CGTTGATGATAAAGTTACATCAAGCTAAGATACACCAGATCAACAACCAACACAATAATTTATTTTGGTTCTATTTCTGAATTGAAGTCATTGTCTGTCTTAGTTTGACAACAAAGTTGTAAACGATTATACTCATGCAACAGCTTTCGACATAAACCTCAATCATCTTAAGGGTGGGTGTGGGTCCTAGGTGAATACGAAACTCATACTGAGACCAAACCCCACTCCCACACTCTCAAAATACGTCATTAAAACGGCACAAGCGAACAATTATAGGATAGCACTTTGTGACAGCATGCCTTATTCACTGGTATATATTTGGCTTGGAATGTCTGTCCGGATATTATAAGGTGCCTGAATCGAGTCCCGCGAAGAATCATGCTTTTCTCTGTACGATCACGTACGATCATTGACACTGCTAGTCTATACATTCTATATGTATCAGAGCTAATACTCTTAAGACTAAAATTAGGAACTTTACATAGTTTTAGACATGCATATAAGCAAAACAAAAATGTTGCAAATATTTTGATACGACTAGTATACAAGAATATAGCAGAAGTCTAGCATGCATATACCTTCAAAGTATCATCGTATCACTTTACATGATCGATCTCAGACATGGTTTTTGCATTTCTTCCTACTGATAGACTCATTATTCCAGAATATCTTAATTGAACATAATCGATTTTCTGTACGAGAACCATTCGATCTTGCGTTCTATGAATCGCTGAACCTATACTCTCTTTTTGATACGCTCGCGTAGTCTTGAGAATGAGATAGAAGGGTGCTACTGAACGGCAAACCATAGGTCTAACACGTCATAGACTAACTCAGCGATGATCTGTTTTAGACGACAATGGGTCAATATTTTTGCATGTAAAATTTATATTAGTCATGTGTTCCTATGACATATTTTAACTTATGTTCGAAACTCGATTTTTCTTTCTGGATATCTTGAAAAATGACGGAATACTCACTCAAAACTTCGAAAGTTTTGACAAGCTATTTTTTATTTAATTACAGCATTCAAGAAGCTTCGAGAACAATATCGACAATATCGTATTAACCGCATCATGAATCCATCAAAATCTTTCCCAATTGAACATAGCTATATTAATTTAGCGATAGTGAAAGCCGAAGAACAACAGAAAAAAGAAAAGGAACTTCTTCATACTCAGCATCATAATACCATCATCGGTGCTTTTGAAGAGATTTATGGCATGAAAACTGCAATAGATATCAAGCATATTTTTGATAGATGTAAAAATCAAGAGAAACAAGTGCTTGTATTTGGACGAGCCGGTATCGGAAAATCAACATTTTCTCAATATATCGCTTATCAGTGGGCAACTGGTTCCTATTGGCCACAATATGAATTAGTCGCTTTGATTCCATTACGTCGTTTAACAACCAGTCGGTATCCACCCGACAAGAGCCACTCTCTCATTGATCTCGTGAAAAAAGAAGTTTTTCAGGATGATTTATCTGAAAACGAAGAGAAACTCTTGAGAAAATGGTTTGATGCAAAAACGATTCTATGGATTTTGGATGGATATGATGAAATTGTACAAAATGTGCCAACACATCTGCAATTTTTATTTGAACGACTACTGAAAACTCCACACCATATTTTAACATCTCGTCCATATATGAATACATTATCATATAATGTACAAATGGAAATTACTGGTTTTACAGATGAAAATATCGAAAAGTATGTCGAGCAGTTTTTTGATCAACTTAAAAATGATTTAATCGATACAACACTTCAAGCTCAAAAACTAGTGAGCTTCTTAAAAAGTAAACGTAGAATTTGGGGTATCGTTCATATACCAATAAATCTAGAACTTATGTGCAGTCTTTGGTGTGATACTGACTGGTTGGAAACAAAAACGCTGACAATGACAACTGTGTACGATAAAATGATTGAATGGCTTTGTCGACGATATTTACAAAAGCGAAATAATGAAGATTCACACCTGAGAAAAAATACTATTTATAAAACCTGCCATAAAGAATTGGCATTTTTAGAAATCTTGGCTTTCCATGGAATGCAGGAAAGTAGCGTAATTTTACGACCAAAATTACTCGAAAAAGTAGAGCATGAGACTGGAGTTTCCTTGGATGACCATCCACAATTACTCAACATCGGTATTTTAAAATCGTTTGATGACCGACCAGTTGGTACTGCTATCGACGCAGAGAAAAACCATTATTTTGTCCATCTTAGTTTTCAAGAGTATTTTACAGCAAGATACATAGTAAATGCACTACATGGGGATGAAAATCAAAAGAAAAAAGCAATTGATTTCATCAAAAATCATAAGTATAATCAACGTTTTGAATTAGTGTTTATTTTTGCATCTGGCCTTCTCACTGACACCACTCGCCAACAGTCAATGAATTTATTCTGGGAAACACTGTTGGGAGAACCACTCGATCTCGTTGGTTTCAGGCATGCACAGATTGCCATTGCTTGCTTAGAAGAGGCCGGGTGCGACAGACAGATTCCACACTTTCGAGAGTTGATGAGTTTAATCATCCAATGGATTAAATATCATGTATCTGCGGACCAAAAAAAGTCAAACAACCGATTCATTGAGTTATTACAAAGAAGTCCGTTATTAGTAGATCAATCGGAAATACATGACAAATTCATAGAGTGGTATAAAGACAAAGATCGGACTATTAGCCAGAAGGCATCTTCATTCGTTTCTGATTTGCCGATTTCCAATCGATACACAGACTTGATTCAGTTACATCTAACAGCACTTACTGCTGAAAATATACAAGTTGACTGGAGTGTATTTAAAGCTTTCAAGAAAATGGCTGACAAAGCAGTAACCGATGACGTTCTCGATGAATGCGTGAATGTACTTAGTCACACGGATGAAAGCGTCAAAAAGAGTACGTGTGAAGCTCTCGGTCGAATGGGTGCAAAAGCAGCAATCGATGACGTGGTCAAAGGACTCGTGAATCTACTTGATCAAATGGATGAAAGCGTCAAAGAGAGTGCGTGCGAAGCTCTCGGTCGAATAGGTGAAAAAGCAGCAACCGAGAAAGTCATTAATAAACTCCTGATTCTACTTGGTAATAAGGATGAACGCGTCAGACACCACGCGTTCAAAGCTCTTGAGAATATGGGTGAAAAAGTAGCGACTGATCAAGTTATTAATAGACTCCTCATTCTGCTCGATGATACCAGTGATGACGTCAAAGGAAGTGCGTGCGTAGCTCTCGGAAAAATGAGTGAAAAAGCAGCAACCGATGAAGTAATTCATAGACTTCTCATTCTAGTTGGTAATACGAATGATAGCGGCAGACACTGTGCACGCGAAGCGCTGAGGAATATAGATGAAAATGCAGCAACTAATAAAGTGATTAATGAACTCATCTTTCAACTTCGTGATAGAAATGATCGCGTTACAAGTTGGGCGTGGGATGATCATTTTACAAGTTTGGCGAGGGATGATCTCGTAGAACTAGATGAAAGAGCAACAACCAATAAAGCCATTGATAGACTCCTGACTCTACTTGATCAACGAGATGATTATGCCAAACGTCAAGCACGTGACACCCTCGCGTATATGCGTCGAAACGAAGCAAACAATGAAGTGATTGATAACCTTATCATTATACTGGATGATACGAATGGATACATCAGACGTTGTGCATGCGAAGCATTTGGGAACATGGGTGCGAAAGCAGCAACAGATGAAGTAATTAATAAACTCATCACTCTACTGGATGATACAGATCATGGTATCAGAAGAAGCGCGTGCGAAGTTCTCGGTAAAATGGGCGAAAAAGCAGAAACAGATGAATTGATTAATAAAGTCATCATTCTTTTGGGTGATACGAATCATGATGTCAGAAGAACTGCATGCGAAGTTCTCCGTAAAATGGGTGAAGAAGCAGCAACCAATGAAGCCATTAATAAACTCATTAATCTGCTTGGTGATAGTGATCATAACGTCAAGCACACTGCGTATGAAACTCTCTTTGAAATGAGTGAAAAAGCGGCAACTGCTGAAGTGACTAATAAACTCTCTATTCGACTAGATGATACGAACGATCGTGTCCAAAGCAGTGCGTGCGAACTTCTCGTTAGAATTAGTGAAAGGTCAAAAAGTAATGAAGTTATTAATGAGCTCATCATTCTACTAGATAATCCGGATGCGAGGATCAGAACCGGTGCGTGCAAATTTTTCTCTAGAATGGGTGAAAAAGTAGCAACGGGTGAAGTGATTAATAAACTCATCATTCTACTTGATGATTTTAATGAAAAAGTCAAAAGAGGTGCGTGCGAAGCTCTCGGTACCATGGGTGAAAAAACAGCAACCAATGAAGTGATTACGAAACTCAGCATTCTACTGGTTGATTCGAATGTGAAGGTCAGAAAGAGTGCATGCGAAGCTCTCGGTAAAATGGGTAAAGAAGCAGCAACCAATGAAGTCATTAATAAACTCTTCATTCTGTTTCGTGATGTCGATTATAATGTCAGGTACAGCGCGGGTGTAACTTTAGGTAGACTGGGTGAACATGCGGCAGCCATTGAAATGATTAATAAACTCAGCATTCTACTGGATGATTCGAATGTGGAGATCAGAAAGACTGCATGCGAAGCTCTCGGTAAGATGGGTGAAAAAGCAGCAACCAATGAGGTCATTAATAAACTCGTCATTCTGTTTGGCGATCTCAATAGTACCGTCAGGTGGAGCGCGTATGCAGCTTTTCGGAATATGGGTAAAAACGCAGCAACCCATGAAGTTATTAATAGACTCAGCTTTCTGCTTGATGATGAAGACCATGGCGTCAGATGGAGTGCATTTAACGCTTTGGGTGATATAGGTGAAAAAGCAGCAAGTAGTGAAGTCATTAATAAACTCGTCATTCTACTAGATGCTACGAATGGTAGCATCAGAAGCAGTGCGTGTGAAGCTCTCAGCAAAATGACTGAAAAAGCAGCAACCAGTGAAATGGTTAATAAAGTTGTGATTCTACTAGGTGACACGGATAGTAGCGTCAGAGAGGAAGCATGTAAAGCTCTCGGTCGAATGGGTGAAAAAGCAGCGACTGATGAAGTGATTGATAAATTCATTATTCTACTTCGTGATACGTATACTAGGGTCAGAAAGGAAGCATGTACAGCTCTCGGTAAGATGGGTGAAAAGGCAGGAACGAAAAAGGTGATTGATAGTCTCATCATTCTGCTTAATGATTGGGACGATGACGTCAAAAAGAGTGCGATTGAAATTTTGAGTGAAATAGGTGAAAAAGCTGCGAAGAATGCCGTGATTATGGCGCTCATCACTGTAATCGATAGTGGGTATGGTTCGTACACAAAGAATGCGAGTAAAGCTCTCTGTAAAATGGGTAAAACATCAGCACCCGATGAAGTGATAGGAATGTTGTTAGACGCGTATTTAAATGGTGGTAGAGTTAAGTTCGAAGCAGACTCGATGATTGGAGAGATTTTGGGGGCGTTATCATCTATGTCAGATTTAAAAGACGACACAGTTCGCAAACTTTCGAAGTATGCTGACCAGTCTACGTTGTGGCCATCGATAAAAGTTTCTCCAGAACAATTCATCGTAGCTTTTTTGAAAACAAAAATTTCATTTTGGTGCCGCATTATTAGAATGGTTTTCACTATGCATGGGTATGGCTTTACAGTGACTGGAAACAGCGTTGTATTATTTGGCCTTCAAGAACCAGTTGAGCTATCACTTCCAAACGAAGAACTTGGTAAACAGCTGGTGCAGTATTTCATTGATCGGTAAGACGAATCATTGCAAAAGTATGGATGAGTGAGGGAATAAACTATTGCTACAAAGAATGCATGATTAGGCGATTTATATGATTTTGTCGGTAGACTCGACCATACGACAGTTAGTCTCTTGATTCTGCTAGGATATGTAGGACACACATATAGAAAGTGATGCTCTGCAGGAGGGTAAGTGTGGGTGTGAATGTTAGAGAAGAAGATACAGCCACATTCAGACCCACACCCTCATCCACATCCACACTCAGCCCTCAAGGTGCTGCTCTTCACCTGGGCACAGGTTCGGTAAAGTACCACTTTTTTTTAGAGCGTAGGCCTTTCGGAGAACTGCAGAAATTTGTAAAATAAAATATTTTGAAAAGGCCGCTCTAAAATCAAAAAACGTACAGGAATTGTACACTACCCAGTGAAAAATGACCATGAAAAAAAACGGTATAGAACACGTTCCAAAAAAAAAGTCAGCTTTTTTTAAGAAAAAAAAGCGTTCCACAAAATTTGGAACGTGTTCCAACATGGAACGGTCAAGAACACATTCCACTGTTTCTGGAACGGCCAAGAACACATTCTACTGTTTCTGGAACGCCTTTTTTCAAGAAAAAACGAACGTTTATTTTTCTGGAAAGCGTTCCCGATAATTATCATCTACATGCACATTCTCTACATAATCTTCAAAGAGAAGTAAGTACAAGATTCGTCGACAGACCTCTTCCAATGCAACTTTACGAGCTCTATCCAATGGCATGCTCAGATTTTTTGTAGCTTAAACTATAGAAATTATGACATGAAATATTTTTTTTGAAAATTGAGATTGTCTGCTGGGAAGTACAACCTATCGAATGTTCTTCCATTTTTTATGTTAATTTTAATATATCGTACTTCAGCATAGGCAGTTTTGAACCAAAACTGGCGTTAAATTTAGATGAAAGTGTTCCATAATTTAGAGAACGGCGATGGATTCATTCTACTCTTGTTAGGAATAGTATTTGGTTATCTGGAATGCATTTATCAGTTCAAAGAATTCGTTCGCAGACGTTTTTATAAGGAACGTTAAAGAAAACGATCTCATTTTAATGGAATCCAATTCTAATCGTTCCAAGAAAGAATGATAAAAAACTCATTTCACTAGGTTTTAGAACGGGCTAGAACGCTTTCTGATCAGTCGAAGAACGATTTTTGAATCGAGAAGAAAGCGTTCTATAATAATATGGAACGGCAAAGAATGCGTTCCACTAAATAATAAATATTTTTTTGCCATTAATGAATGCTTTCGTTAAACTGCAGAAAGCGTTTTCCTAATGCAGGACCAGTTTCCATGTTTTTACGAATGCGTTTTCTACCGTTTTTTTTCATGGTCATTTTTCACTGGGTAGGACATCCTCTCTTATTTGATGGAATTCCACCACAAAGAGAGAGAGTTTGTCGCCGCACCGAGTACAACGGTAAAATGATGAAGGAAAGACAGTTTTCGCTACGGTTTCCATTCGGTAGACTAGAGATGAAACTGGACAAACTTTTTGTGACCAGTTCGGTGTGGGCGGTATTTAAACAACGGGTTTTCAAGCATTTACATAAGATATTTTTATTTAGAACGCGAGTACCAGAGCCTTTCCGTCGCAATCGTGACATATCCAGAATTATTACTTACTTTAAAGATTTGAATGACACCGTTGATGAAGATGGTCTCCCGACACTTGCATCATTCGTCCGCTTAGGTCTTATCAAGAAATCCGATCAATTGACCTGCAGTGCTCCATATTCGCGCGGCGAAGTAAACAATGGAAAACATTTCCGTTGCAAAATTATCGAGAAGGATAGGACATATTATCTTAGATCAGGAGACATCGAAAAACCTACCCCTCGTGAATTTCTTGACCAACTGCTGAATGAGCATGGCGGGTCTATTAAAGACCTTCATCATCCGTGGCAGTATTTTTGCAAGAGCGATGACAACATGAAAGAAGATCTACATAGTCAGTTTCTAACCAAAGACACAGCCATGCGGGACCTACTATCGGAAAACCTGCTCAAAGCGCCGTCACCTATATGGAAAATCTACACTGTGTTCAATCGTGAAACTCATCATTTTGAATTTCACTGTATCTCGAATAAAAGTCGCAACGAGTTTTCAGAAGATGACCTCAACGACTGTGAAGAGCTGCTTTATAGTCCTTTTGTTCAAATTGACAAAGTACCGAAAACCGCAGAAGATGAAGTGAAATTTGAGCGACTGGAATTTAATAATATCACGCCAGGAAGCGCCATGTATACGGTGCTCAACAAAATAGAAGATAATATATGTTTCTCGTAAACTTATTCAAAGATATTCCTAACATAAAACATGACGACAGACATTGGAAAATCAAACAAACACAGTTACTCATTGAATACATTTTCCGTTCTCAAAAAAGATTTCTTTTTTATAGACAGATTGAGCTGAAGCGTTTGCCATTGATCAATGTCTACCCATAAGTGGATTAATCGGAGTTATAATAGTTATACTTTTTCTTAAACGTTGCCAAATAATCTCATCAGACAAGGACAGATACTAGTACAAGCTTTTTATCAGACCTTGGGAAGCCGATAGTTGATACGGACTGAATGTGGTGTCAATGAAAGCTCCGAAACAGTTTCATGTCAAAAATGATTACTAATCCCAATTTTACCTGTTAATTTAAGTGCGTGATGAGAAACTACTTCAGATCTCCAAAGTACCTTATCATATTCATTATTTTCTGGTCTCACAATCTGGCAAAGCGGCTTACTTCCTCACTGTTGGAGTAAGCGACGCGCCACGAGTTTCAGTAAAAAATTAGCGTCTCCTTTTAAAATAAGAGATATAAATTAGTATCATTATTGTCCAAAATCCTAGATTATTTATTATGAGTTCAACAGTTTTTGATGGAGATAATCTTTCTAGCATTGCAAAGTTTTCTTCACGCTTGTAAATTTTAAAAAGATGAGATAACCAAAAAAGGTTTTTATTTGCTAACTTCTAGTGTCAAAATGAATCTAGACTATTGTCTATAGCGAAATAAGACAGACAGTAAATGTTTCTTTAATATCTCGAAAACGGAAGTACTTTGCGACTTCTGTTTTTCACCATTTGAAAGAGCGGTATGGGGCAAGTGAAATCATGTCAAAATCTAGTAGTTCAAAAACTCACCAATACAATGAGTTTTTGCTTGACATTTTATGTAAGATAGTACGAAAATACTCTCTATTGAATTTAGAATTCTAATATGCCTATTCGATACAGCAAATTGTTCTCTGCCCATTTACACAAAGGTGAACTCTATCATTTCTTCTGTTCGGAACCTGTACGCATTTTCTCAAAAATTCCAATTTTACCCATATGACCTTGGATATACTTTAAGGGAACACCTAGTATTCCCCTGGCAAAAATTTTGTTTGTAGATTTTTTCTTATATGAAGGTGTATCAAGGTCCCCTTTAGGTGTCCTATAAAATCGGAACCGTCCGAGATCAAGAAATCATTGCAAAACCGGGGTTTTGGCAATAAAGTATGCGACAAAAAGTTCTTTTTGATCTTTTACGTTATTTCGAAAGGTATTTCATCGAAATTTTTGGTGCGTTTTTATAGATAACTGATAAATAACAATAAACTACTTAATCAGAATTGACCTTAGATTCATGTTCTTCGTTTTGATCTGAGTTAACTAAGTTTTTACAGAGAATTCGTTAATTAGCCGTAATGAGTTAATTAATTAATTTAGTTTGACATGAAATTCGAATTCTCTATCCTTGTATATCCCTTTTCTAATGTTGTAGAAAATCGGTTTCACTGATTAACGAATGATTAATGTCTATGTAATTAGCTGATTAATTAATTAATATCGACATCCGATTCGAATTCTTCATGCAAAAATACGCTGTGCACCAGAAAATCAGTAAAACTACGCAAATAGAAGCAGAAAAAGAAAATGTTTCTACAAGTTCTTTTTATTTCATAGTTTAAGGGTAGGTGTGGGTGTGAGCCTTGTTCTTATTTCACATCCACAATGGTACCCTCTATCACACCCACCCCACCCCCCACACTCAACAAACTTCTCATTAAATCATCACGTTTATCTTGCATAATTTTATGACTGCCTAATCTTTTCACTTAGAACCTCCAGAATTTGCTGCACCTGGCACGTGCAAGGCACTTACTTGTGGCGGTCGTCCTTGTGCCAAGTGTCACAAGTGTCGTGATTGGCATTTCATTGGTAATCAAGACGAGTGGAATTTAGTCCGCAACCCGGAAAATTGGAAAAAGGTAGATGAAGATCGTTGGAATTGTGAGGGCTTAGAGCTTTTTACGAAACGTGATGGTGCGACCTGTAATGTTGCTGATCCTGATCGTCATTTTTATACTGAGCATCGTGAAGTTAATGATGATCATGATCGTCATTTTGATACTGCTCATCTGTGTTTATGTGAAAAGCACTAACCTTCTTTATCGGAATGATGAAAGTTCCATTTTCGAACATTCATTCTATTGTACGAAGATTTATAATTAAATAAAAACGAAGAGTTAACGAAGAAAGATTTCATCTGTAGCAGGAGTTAGAGCGCATGTGAGCGTCTAGAACTGTTTGTAGTATAAGTCGGCTGTGTATAGTTTGCGCTTTTAGTTAATAAGAATTAAAAAACTGATAAATGAATGCGTAGAAGTATGTAAAACTATTTTTAATAATTTTAACATATTAAATCCTATGAAGTAGTACATAACAGAGTGATAGAAAATGAAAATGACACAAAGCTAACAACATATTGTGCCTGTTGGAAATTCTTTCGAGGCAATGAAAGCTGTGATTTATGTTTTATTATTCATTAGAGGTGATTTATTGATGTGATCGTAGTGGAATAAATGAATTTATTGAAATATAGTTACATAAGGCAAAGTATTTGTGTAGAGAAACACTATGAAAGATTGTTTTTATTTTTGCATTAAGAGAACGTGGTAGCTATTGAGTGTACTTTCGAAAAAAGTATTTATCCTTATTTATCGATAGGGTTTATTAAATATTTCTATGAAGAAGTAAACGATGATTTGACATGGTTACAAAAAAGTACTTCATTTTGCGGTAACTTATTCTTATTGTGTTGTAAAAAAGTAATCGACATCGGTGATGAAAGTTATGCAGTACTGATTTTCGCAAGTGACTTTCAGCAAATACCAAAAGTGGTTGTTTGGTTTGTTTTTCGATGAAATCAAATTGAGCTTTGGTCAATATTCAATAATTCAGTTTTGTGAAAGTAAAATCCAACAAACACACAACTTATGGGAATTAGGAGTTGTTTTTAATCATATAAATTCATGCTGGCCTCTCAGCAGTGTGTAACTGCAAACTTATAGAATTTCTGGGTTTAGGTAAGAGTTCGGATGTGGGTGCGGGTATTCTATTGTTTCAACACCCACACTAATATCCTGGCGATCAAATGCCCTAGCGAGCAACTGTCCGACGAGCAAGTGTCCATACGAGTAACTGTCCATGCGAGCAAATGTCCGCGCGCAACAGTCCTGCGAGCAACTGCCCTGCGAGCAACTGTCCGTTTCCCAGAATTTCTAGAACAATAGATATGTCTATATATTCAGTATTGATATACACGTTACTAATATGAAATATTGCTAAAATACCTTTAAATATTATATGAACCGAACGATTTCTAATCAAATTATTTGCTTTCCAAGGTGCCTGCTCGGCAACCACTCACAACTTCAAAGTTAAAATTCGCATTGAACAGAACAAAAAGTAATATGCTGTAATAATGAAACTTTGGTCACTCATCATTTAAACTTTCATGACTTAAAATTCCCAACAATATGGCTACGAACTATGATCACTTACTCGATTCAAACATCTATTCAAACTTTGAAAAACTGCTAAACGTTCCGTCTTTCTTGCATACCAATCATACTCCATCACGATGAGTATAAATATTATCACATTCCCATTGTTCACATTCTGTTTCATTTGTATGACCTTGTTTATCGATTTCTATTGGATATAATTCTTGAAAAAAATCACACATCGTTTGAAAACAAATTGTTCTTTTAGTATAATTTTCGTTTTTATTTTTATCTTCGCATAAACCGTTATAATCAGCACAATCACAAGTTCCATCTGAAACAAATTTCTTGAGAATATTTTTGTTACTAAAATAAAAATGGTAATATTTATCTTTTAATCGATGAAATAATTGAAGATTTGCATCTTCAAATATATTTTCATCATCATTATAACGACAATCTGATTGATCATACATTAAACGATGAGATGAACTACACTTGGACGAATTGATGAAAAATACTATTCATAATAGATGTATATCGAAGGTTTGAGCGTGTAACAGCCAATTTTATAATTTTGCAACTCGAAGAGAGACAAAGTATTTTGTGTCATCCATATATATATTTGAAACAAATTTAAGTGATCCATCATGAAAAGATTTGTTCGAACATAAATAAGGTACGAGATGTAGTTCATCATCATTCTTATAAGCTGTAAAAACATGATTGAAGTATGTTGGCATATTAGGAAAAAATAACGAATTTGGACACTATTTTCTTATGGCAGGAATATGGGTTTTGTTGATAGTATCAATAGTTATCAAAGGATACAGTCGACTTGGAAAAGGAAAATGACATTTTAAAGCGAATCAACATTCATTCGATAAGTTGATTTGAATACTGAAAATCACAACTACTTGTCAGGAATGTTGTTCTACATCTCGCATCTTCATGTCCAAAAACTCCGTCAGTTACGCCAAAGAATAGATTTTGATTAGCAATTCTTTCAATTTTATCAGATTTGTTAATACAATCGAAATTTCTTAGTCTAGCGTCATGAATAAATTCATTTTCTTTACATTTATTTAATTCAGGTTGTCTGCAATGTTCTTCATCATAATTTCCATCAAGACAATCAACTTTACCATCGCAAATATCTGACCAATCTAAACATGCTGGTTCATAACCACGATTACATTTCAAATGAGTATAGCAAGTCAAGCCCCTAGATTTAGGAAAATCCTTTTAATAATATTCGCCCCTTAATCCATTTAATGTTGTAAAATCTTGATGATAACAATATAATTGATATTGACATATGGGTCCAAATCTTGGTAATGTACAATTATAAACGATTTGTTTTGCCAAAGATGGGTCGTTTGATTCTAAATAATACTCATATTGTTCAATGATATCAATTAGTATTCACCATCGATGTAATTCTTCACTTGTTATATTGTGTTTTGCAAGATTATCAAAAGAAAATTTTTGTAACGAATCTTCTTCATTATTTTTAATAGAAAACCTTGACGATCATTCACTGATACAAAAAGATGTAATCTCTCGACTGAGACCTTCGATATCGAGATTTGCAGCAAATTGTAAACATTTATATCGTATATCTATCTTATCAAATGAATTGACATTTAATTGAGGTACAGATAAAGTATTATGTAAGAAAATAAAATAAAAAACATATTTCATATGAAACATGATTTCATTTTATAAAAAACGGTAAATAAAATAACGTGAGTTTATATGAATATATACATTTTCTTTGACGTCTATTTGTTAAAAGGTTTTGATCATGAACAGACTCGTTTGTTCCCTTTCGATAAACATAAAATGACGTTGAATTAATTCGTTAAAGTAAATAGTTTTGCTTCAAAACCTCCGATTAATTTTTACTACATCATCATCACTTCTACAGCTGCCTTGTTATTATTATATCAATGAAGAGAGAAAATTTATTGTACAGTTAGATCAATACATTGACTATTAATGTTTTCTTAACAACCATAAAATCAAATGATTGAAATTATCGAATATACACAATAACATTTCCTTCACATTGATTAAAAAATTAATGTAAGTTCTGAGTTTTTTTGCTGTGTATACTTAATATTTTATCATATAATGAAATAACATCAAAGATACGAAATATTGTAGTTTTATTGAAAAATCAATACTTTCTACAGATGTTGTCAAAAAGTAACTATATGAATATTACTTAGAAATGAGTAATAAAATAATATAATCTTTGTTGAATGAATATCTTAATGTCATGATATAAAGTAAACGTACTTTTATGAAAAGGTCCTCCTTTCTTAGAGTTGCCAACTCCTCCGGATTTTTCTGTTTCTTCTTAAATTACATTTGACTTTTTTTGACTCGAACTGAATTACAAGCTATATTGAATTCTTCGTTACCTGCACACAAACTTATGAACATTTTTTGTATTAAAATGAGAGCTAATTAGAATGTTTCAATCTAATTAAAATATTCTTTTAAAAGACAATATTTTTATCAATATTAAAGCTTAGCGTGTTGGTGGTTGTGAGTGTACGTGAATGAAATAGGATATTCATAGTCCCACTCACCCTTCCTCAGCCATCCAGTAGATTTTCTTATATTAACTTTATTATTTTAAGCAACAAAAGAATGCAGTTTTTCTCTGGCGATTATAATAGCTACGACTCCTTGCGCCAGCCAAAGTTGTTGTTTGTTTTACTAGTTTGAAACAGTAAAGTAATGTGCAAACAACAATTTCTGAAGAGACACCGAGCAAGAAGACACACTCTCGTTGCTTTTTTTCAGAAGAACGCGTAAAAACACAACATGCAGCTTCAGTCACATATTGTGCTTGCTACTGAAAGGTAAGAAAGGATTTCGCTTATGAAGCAAACTAATACATCGATTTTTTTCTAACTATGATACTCTTTTACAAATCCTCAATAAGTTGTGCAGTTAGATTGTAGTGATAGGTATTCTGTCAAATCATCAACGCTAATGCCATAGTTTGAAAATATACCCACGAAACCCTGATACTGAAAGTACATATATATCTAAGTACCCGGTGTTGGATTTTTTTACTGGTACGAGTGTGCATGTTAAAATGAGGGTAGAAAGATCTTCACTTTGCTCAGGAAATGAGTGTCGGAAGAGACAAGTAGCAAAGATTTTTAAGATCTAAGCTCTCATTTTTACTGATGTTTACACTCACAAACACAACTATATCCCAAGTCGCGTTAAATCCTTCGAAGTTAGTGTATGAGGATGTGGGTGCGGGTGTGCTTTTATTACTCTCATATCCATAGTAACCAGGGGCTCCGATAAGGGGGGGCTGAATCAACGCCCCGCCCTTCAAATTAGAAAACCTATATGTCTTTCTGCGGAAACTGGAAAAGTTGCTGCTAAAATTATTAAAGTTCTACTGTACCCGTGGTTGGAAACTTGCTTTTTATGCTCTTTTCACTATACTTCTGCCAGAAACTCCAATAAGAACACTTTTTGTGAGCAAAATTCCACAAATAATGCATCGTTTAAATATTTTCTATGCGATGTGTCAGAATATTATAGAGTGTGCGTGTAGATGAGTGGGTGCATCTTATTTACCACACTCAAACCCACACCGACACCTATACCCGCATCCACACTCACACCCACACCCAGGCGCATAACTACACTACCCACATTCACACCTTCACCATTCATACTCACACCCATACCCATACCCGCACCACGCACACTCACATCCACACACACACACACACACCCACCCACTACACCACACCCTCAAAATGGTTGAAATCAAACTGAGACTTTTAGAACAAACGCGCGAAAAACCTTCTGTAGTGTCCCATGTAACTCGCTTTTCTATTTGTACTTGCTTTAAGATAATAGCAATCTAAACTGTGTGCAGCAGCAGCGCTTATGAGTTCTGAATCACGAAAGATTGCCCTTGTGGTAGGAAACAACAATTATACCAAATCTCCTCTCACGAACTGTGTTAATGATGCTACCGATTTAAGTGCTGACCTCATAAAAGTTGGATTTTCCGTGACAACACAAACGAACGTCAATTATGAAGAGATGGATAGAGCAATTGAAACTTTTGTCGATGATATTAGGTCCGGTGATTTCGTCCTGTTTTTTTTTGCTGGACATAGTGTACAATCGGAAGATCAGAACTATTTGTTGCCATGTGATGACGATCGTATTAGAAACTTGCCTGATTTAAAATATCGAGCTGTAAATGCACAGCGAGCGCTAGAGCTGATGTCTGCTAAGGCTCCTTTCGTTATTGTGTATCTTCTCGATTGTTGTCGCACCTACTTGTTACCAAGTTTGGCTAAAAGCAGAGCTACGGAAATTTCATCAAGAGGAATGGCTCCTATGATCGCAAGGGGTGGTTCTTTGGTTGCTTCCGCCTGCGCACCTGGAGAAACGGCCGCGGATGCGACATCGAATGGACGTAATGGACTTTTTACTTATCATCTTTTGCAGCAGATGACGAAACCAGGCGAAAATATAACAATGTTAATGTTAGATTTAACACAAGCAGTGGCAACTGAAACAAACCAGAAGCAAATACCTTATTATACAAGCTCATTACAAACACGAGATGTATACTTAGTACCACCTACAACGCAGACTCCACGCCCAGAATTAATATTATCGCAAGTGGCACAATTATCCCTTAATTCAGAAATGAATGGTGAGTAACGCATCGTCATCTTTAATAACGGGTACTGGAAAAAGTTCTGAGCAAATATTGTTTCATTTGTCAGCGGTCAAAAGAGGCTCAGTAAAATCGAAAATAGCTATCAGACATTTACACTGAAAACGCTTTCTAAATATATACTCAAACGAAGGTGTGGGTGTGAATCCAGGTATAATGATCTCTTAGTCACCAACACTATAGCTACCACTTAGTGAGAGGTTGGGATATCAAAGTATTATGTCTAACTACATGTATATGAGAGAAAAGGAAGCTGGGAAAACATTGAGTAACGCGATGTATGAGATGAAGATACTACAGTGTTCTTCTAAAATATAAGCATATGAATAATGCGATGCACGAGAAGATATCAGATATTGTGAGTACATAGGAGAAGAAGTAAAGAAGAAAGTGTAATTGTTTAGATTGTCACACCATCTTATTCGAATGTGATTATTTCTTTTCTCTAAATGTATCGTAGTACTTTGTTTGATTTTTCGAAAGAAACAATCAGAGATCTTATCGAGATAGTATTAGGATCTGGAGTACTATGCTCTACAGAAATAGTCATATCATATTTCATTGGTGCTTCGTGCAGCTTGAGCAACTTCCCGGTATTGGAATATTCAAAAAATATCTTATAGTTAATGGTTTATGTAAAAACTCACAAAACTCTTTATTTTTAAGAATACTCAGCATTTAACAGGCTAGACATCGAGAAGTCATTACGATTAAATTTTCAGCTATGTGAAGCTGCTTCCAATACAAGCATAATAAAAACCAAAGACACTCGTTGATGATAAAGTTACATCAAGCTAAGATACACCAGATCAACAAC